GCATGTGTCGCAGCTGTGCATGTCAGAGGAGGCAGCTCGTGTCGTCAAATGCAGTAACCTCACATCGTGTCCCTGCCGCTGTACTGTCTGCACTTTTCCTGTTGCTCTGTTAAATGGAGAAGACACAACTGTAAGACTCAAAGCACTTATCTTAAGCTCCGCAAAGGGTACATGGATACACAGATGCACGAGAGAAAGGTAACAGGGAAAGAAAAGGATCAGTCCTTTATCGTTGTCAACAAAATTTTGGGTGTGTGTGATCTGCATGATTACATCAGAGCTCTCGGCAGCCAAGCTGAAAAAAAGGGGAAAAGGCTTCCTTGGTCTGCTTCGTGAAATATGAATGAGACGGTTGCAGTAAATCTTTCCTGTGTGTTGAATAATATTTAGACACTATCTCAGGTTAATATGAATCCATATAATCTTTGCATATTGGTAAATTAATTCTTCAAATTTGAAATATGAATGATTATTTTTACATGTACATGCAAAATAGGTTCATCCAACCTGTTTCATTTTCTGTGAATTAATGAAAACTTCATATTTTTTTATTTTAGGACAGCCTGGTGACCACCTATCTGACCCATTGTCCTCTGACAGGAGCTACAGGCCACAGGAATCATAATGCCAAGGCCATTTGGACTCTAAGTCAGTGCAAACATGTAAAATAAAATCAGTCCACCACAATTTTGCTTTTTGCAACAAATGCATCCTTGTTGCATCTACTAATTTTTATATATATTCATGAATCTAATTGTTTACATTCAGTTGTATAAGACTGATACATACACAGATACATAGTGTTATAGTGGACAATATGTTAAGAACTTTAATGCACTAAACAATAGCAGCTCTCCTAACATCATTATATTTTAGTACGGTGACAATAAGGCTTTCAAATTTTTTTTATTTTAAAAAAAGTACTCCAAAAAGAAAAGATACTGATTATACGCTGCTGAGAAAAACGTCACAAGTAGCACAAAGAGGTCATTAAAGAGAGTAACAAAAGTGACTCATTTATACTAATACTACTAATGATTATTATCAAAGAAAAAAAATGTTTATTTAATTTTAATATCTATAGTAAATGTCTATAAAATATTATAAAAATATTTATAAAAGAGAAGAAATGGGTACTTTTTTGTAAATATAAAAAAATTATTCAACAAAAACATCACATCACAGAATATACTTAAAGCTTTGCACTGACCTGTTCTGGCTGCACAGAGACTACAGAACAAGTTTTCTTACCTAACAGGACTTGCTCAACTTCTTCACTCTCGTCTACAGCTACAGGTTTGAGCAGCAGGGCGAAAATCACAGCAACGCCTATCACCTGTGAGAAAAAGCAGACCGCACAAGAAACGAATAGTGTTGCATACACGTTTGCAGAGATTTCAAAAACAGAAACAAACTATAACATTCTGTAGAAACCCAAGTATCTTCAAATACATACATCATCTCAGAGTGTGACATGCAGGAAACACTTCAGATTATCAGCCAAGCGAATTGACTTTAAAAAAAAAAGGATTTATTTTACCCACCTTTAGAGGCTGCAGAATAAAGATGCTTTCGAAAAGGGAGAGGCCCAGAGACATGACCCACTTGATGGACTTCTCCTTGCCGTACTGAAAGCCATACAACAAGGTGAAGAAAGTTGAAATGCCGCTGATGGACAGCAACAGGAACCAGCCTACAAACACAAACCACCATGGCAGCCAACAGCCCAGGATGGTCGTTGCCTTCTTCTTTGGCTTCTTCGCAGGTGGTGGGCTGGGTTGGGACGAGATGGACAGAAAAAACACACGCATGACGTACCAGTTCAGTATAATAGCACAAATAGCTCTGCAAATATTTTTGTCTCACTGGCAGTTGGAGTACTGACCAGTAGGCCAAGTGGCTGCTGAAGACCATCTCAGTCTTGTGAACCAGTGCGTTGGTGTAGTTGAGGGCCTGCTGGTACTGGTCTAGAGTCGCAAAGTATCTGAAATCCAGTTTCTCCAGGCACATCAGGAGATGACAGAGACTAGCTAGGAGAAACTTGCTGCAGTACACCAAGTGATGGTCGCTCTCACTCTCTCCTGAGAAAGATTTATATTCAAACATATACATTATAAGGTAGTTACATTTCTCTTGAAGTTACCTCTTTCTGAGAAGAAAGGTAACACTACTGTCACACTACACAAGGCAGAAAAGTGCTGCTGCTTGGCCTGATCAGACAGAGGAGAAGTTATTTGCCTAAAACTCAATTTGAATAGAAAGAAATAGGTCCTAGCAGTGTGCTACATGGAAATCTTTAAAAGACACGTCTGATGGTATTGATGTTTTTTTCCTGACAACATAAAAAAAAGAAAATAAGCCTTAAATACAAGCGTCATGTTTCACAGCACTGTTGTTTCTTTGAGATAGGTCTTTGAGATAGTTTTTAGATTGTTTGAAATAACTGTTGATGGGGTGAGAGCAAGGAAATAAGCGTTCACTAGCCTTCTTATTGGTTCTTCTCAGTTAAAGTAGCAACAAACTGCTGTATTCATAAGCTTATGCATCTTATGTACTCTTTTATTAGTTTAAGATCACTAATAGTATGTTGCAGGGACGTGCAGAGGGGGGGGCTAGAGGGGCTTGAGCACCCGCCCCTTTCCTGATGAGTGCCCAAAGTGCCCTTTTGTTGAGGCAACTTTTAAATTTTTTTTATTTATTTATTTATTTTTTTTATGTGTGTGTGCGTGCGGAGTCCTGTCTGTGCCCCTCAACAATAATATTTAACTATTAATCATAGTTTTGCTAAATAAAAGGATCTGGCTTGCGTCAGTCACATGATCACATTTAACCAATGATCGCCCT